GCTGGTATTGGGACAGTGATTTTAAAAAGGTAAGTCTATTTATAGTTAAATTTTGCAGGTGAATGTAAGTTATGCTTCAAAGGACTCAATCTATCTGCCTTTTGAAGAGAGGAACCCATTTAGTAAATTTATGAATAAAAAAAGGCAGCATGAAATTTTGATTCGCAGTGGGTCAAACAGAAGGGTAAATAAAAAACTTTTTTAAAAACTATGTTATGTTTTTCCGTCGTGAGCATGATTATCTAGCTCCAAAGTTACTCAGTTATACAGAGAAACATTTCTGAATTATTTAAAGCAAAATGAGTGCAGAAAAACATTTAGGAAGACATAGGGAAAGTAATTGCCTATTAAAGCAATTACGTGATGTTTGTTTGCTGGGTGAGCTCTTTTAGTAGAATTAGAGGGGAGCAATAATCTCTTTTTTTGTGGTTGACTTTGGGCTTCAGCATCGAACCTCTTTTTCAGCAGTATTTTTAAAGGCAAAAGATTGTTTACTTGACAAAGCGTTCGTTCTCTCCTGTGAGTTTTTTCACTGGGGCTATCACAGCTGTGTATATCTGATGCCCTTGACTTCCAGGTCTCCTGCGGTCCAGATTCAGGTTTAAGGTGCCCTAACAGGGGTGATTACAGCATTATCATTCTTGGTGTTTAGGGTTGGATCTGTAGCTAGAACATCCACAAAAAGTCTAGGAATATGAACTAAGCTAATAGCCAGGGTACTGGTGCTAGGGTACAAGTCAGTTCTGGAGATTTTAAGCTTTCTTACACAGTTACCTCTCTTAATAACTAATACCAAAAAGTAACTGTTTGAATAATAATGCGTATCCACAAAGGTTGAATTCTGGCAACTAGTTTATCTAGTGACTTATCTAGAACTAGGGGCTGAACTCAGTAATTGCAGAATCCTTTCTGTACAAAATGCAGAGTGGGTAGGTAGCAGTATGTACTGCATTTGCTTCAATAATGTAATTTGTCTTTCCTGTGGTATTCTTTTCCAAATGAGGGAGATAAAAAGCTTTGTCAAGTTTCACATAGCTGTGTTTATTGGACAAATATTCCCCTCTGAAATTGGTCATGTGATTATCCACAAAATTCCTTGAATTAAAAGAGGCCTAGTATTGGAAGAACTTTGAAATCATGCCTCCATGAAGAACTATTATGTGAATCAGTAAGGTCTTCCTTCCGTATGCCAAAAGAGAGGCCTAATGCTAGTTTAGTGCTGGCCCTGCAGAGCTTCACAACTGGAAGGTTTGCATAGTATGGTTAGCTTCTTTCAAGTAGTTTTACGTGGTCTTTGTTGTTTTCAAAAAACAACAGGAGCTCTAGTGGTTCCCATTCTGTTAAAGACAGACACACTGGTGTCATTGTCTCCAGTAGCATTGGAGACTTCATTTGGTCTGCAGGAAAACAGGTAAAGTGATCACCATGATTATCTCGTGTTAGAGGATATTGGGACCTTGTGATAAGTAAGGATGTTTTAATTTAAGGAGTTGCAGTTGTTTCCTCATTCTAATCCAGGTATAGAAAACTTCAGTATGAAAATACTTTGTATCACTTGATATTCAGTTTTTTGTCTTTGATACTAAATATTTGAACTACATGACTGTGTGATACATAATTTGTATAAATACCTCAAAAAACCAAAATTGTTTTCAGAATATTGGCTTAACCTATACAAAGGAAGACTAGTAAAAAAATGTCTTCAGGAAATGGAAAGGAACCTGGGAAAATCAGTTACATTCCAAAAAGTTCTTGGCCCTGGCTTACTCTCTGCTCCAAGAAAAGAGACTGATAGTTACTTGCTCAGCCACATCAGCTTTGGGAATGTCATGCTCTTTGCTGTAGTTGACAGCAGAAATACTAGTTACCCCGTGGGATCAGCGAAAATGCTGGTTTATATCTGTGCCGTCCTGTGGACAAGTAACAGAAATCTTGTCTTGTATGAAAAAAATGGATGAAGACATGCTAATGGAGACACCCTAAAACAAGGGATGTCAAACTGTGGTCTGTAAACATTGCCCTAACAGCAAACCACATCTTGTTGCTTGTTGGTATTGCCTGGCATAGCAACAGGAGTGGCTGCACCCAAAGGGCAGTTAATTCTGTTCGGCCCTTGAACTTTTTACTAATTAATGCTTTTCTTTGGCTTTTCACTAGAGGTTACATGCACTATGTAGTTTCTCAAGCTACTTCTTGCAAGGAAAGTTGACTTTACACATCAATTGGCTTGAAAACAAAATTGTTCTCATACTTCTTTCAGTCTATTTGTATTTTTACAAGTGATGGTAAAAGACATTTGTTACAATCATTTTATTTTTCCTTCCAGGGTGAAGGACCTGGCTGGAAAATCTGTCAGGGTCTGTAAAGGCCCTCGGGCTGTCTTTTCTCGAATTCTGCTGCTATTTTCACTGTCTGAGTCAATGGAGGATGAAGAAGCTGGCAGTGCTGGTCAAGGCCAGCTTTCCACAGTCCTTATGGTAAACATGGGGCGTATGGTATTCCCCAGTTACACTATAAATAGGAAAACACAGGTCTTCCAGGACAGAGAAGATCTTATCAGGTAGGAGGAGCTTTGGCAGTTTGCAAATCTATTTATTTCTACAAAAGCTTTACTGCAGTACTTATGTAAGCAAATAAGAATTCATCATGTAGAACTCCAGATGCAAATAGGTAGAAGTGCACTTCTGCAGTGATTTTAAATGCATTTTTGTATCCAAGTAGGACTTGTAACTCACAGTGGCTTGCATTTTGAACCAAATGAACTTGTTTATTTGCTTTATGATCATCTGCTGATGAAAGTTGTTTCTTCATTTACTGTAATGATTATTAGAACAGACTCTGAACAAAACAGAAGTATCTTCTCCGGTTTATAAGTAATTTTAAACATGGTGTACTCTGCTAGTGTAAACTCCACTGATCCTACAAGATGAAGAACAAAGCTGATTGCATGATTCAATGTCTTTGGAGACTGGAAGGGAGTTTTTAAAGGGTATTGTGTGGAGGAATTGAATGCTATTGACTATAAATGCTTTTTGAGCCTAGTTCAGTTATTATGGTTTTTCCCCGTAGGTATGCAACTGCTGCTTATCTGTCGAATGATATAGCCACTGCAATGGTAAATGGGAACTGGGAAGAAGCTAATCATCTATACATGTGTGCTAAAGAAACCTGGAACAAACTGAAAAATCACCCCTCTTTGAGGTAGTAAACTGGAAACCAGCCTAGTGTTCATATGAAACTATTAAGTGCACTATCTTACGTTTGGTACTTTTGAGAGAGGCTTATAGACCAGTGATACTATTTAAGCCTGATAAATTTAGAAGCTTTAATGTTCTTGAAAGCTTTGAATTTCCTGGTTGTTCGTTTAGCTTTTAAGTGATTATATGAAAAGACCTTTTTTATAAAACCTTGGGAGTTAATTGGTAGGCATGGATGAAGCACTAAAACATTTCTGTTCTATGTGCCAATGCAGGAGAACAAGAGCCTTATTTTCCCCTTATCATAGTTTGGTTTTATGGCTTTTATACAAATAGCAATAAGCAGAATTTAAAATTCCCTGCCAACAAAAGAACATTGCAGATGTTATGGGAAAATATACTGGGTTATTAATCTCTTCAAACTTTCAAGTCGGTGTCATTTAGGAGATGCTACTAAAGATCTGAGAACTGAAATAACGTGTATTGTTTTTGAAGCGTCCTTCCTCAGTGTTTCTTTCAATTGTTTTGTTTTGTGGCTTAATGATGCATCAAAAGTTAAAACCTTATGTTTGGCATTATATTCATTTTCATCGCAACTGATATAGAATAATATTCATAGAGGGTCATTTGGAGGACTATTCCATTTCACAGTGAAGACAGTGGAAAAACCTGTTTTGATTTCAATAAGATATTCAAAAGACTTTGTCTTGAAACGTAGAGGTGCCTACCCAAGAGATGTCAGTCGTCTTTTATGGCAGGAGATGCCTGTTCTAGCCTTTTTCTTTTATTCAGCTGTGTTTTTAAAGTTAACCCTGTGACTTAGGAGAGCAAGATGGCAATAACAAAACATCATGTAATAAATTATTGGTTTGCATCTGATGGAAGACTTACTAACAATTCCACTGCTGTTGAAACCAAAGTATGCTGTGCAAGTGCGATTAGCACCTGCTACCTCAGCTAAGCTATTTTTTTACCATTAGGTTCTTGACTTTCCAGCTGGGATATTCAGTTCAGTTCAGTTTTTATATATGAAGCATTTAATTTTTGTAAATGCTTTAGGTATAAGTATTCTTAGTAAGAGAATTTTAAGACTTTAAATTACCATCATTAAATTGATCTGAGCTGTTCTTATCTTTCAGCTATCATAGAGTTTTACCTGAGTATCTGCGACGTTTCACAGTTGGCTGGGTGTATACAAGAATCCTTTCTCAAGGGGTTGAAATTTTGCAGAGACTTCACATGTATAAGGTAAAGCGGTGAAGTGAATAGGAGTATGTGTTTAATGTAGCATTGTACATCAGTTTCTATTTCTGATGTGCCTGGAAAATGGTGATAATGTTTGCCAAAACTTGCTACAGTTCTTTTAACTGGTTACTTTTAAAGAAAAAGAGCCTTTTTTTCTTGCTGCTTAAGAAAGTTTTAAATAGTTTTGATTTCTGCTTATGCTTTGGCAATTTGCCATATGTAATATACCATAAGACTGTCACTGAGACATTGTTGTTTCATTATTTAAAGATATGTGTTTTACCAGATTTGATTATTGCTTTTAAATAAGAAAATCTTGGAAGAGAAGTCTTCTGTGAAATCCCTGCCTCTTCACCTTAGAAGCTAACATCTCCAAAGATGTCTGACATGTTAAAGCAAACCAGATTATTCTGAAAAAGACTTTGCCTTTGCAAAAAGGCAACAAGTAATGTTGAGGTCTTTTTCATATACAATAAGGAATACAGAAAGGACAAAAATATTCTATTTTTGCAGCTGACCTTTAAGTTTACTCAAAAACTCTCTATTCTAGAGTCTTTAAGATATACCCATGCACCCGAATACGTTGGGTGCTGGAATGAAAATGGGGTTTTAATTCTGCAGAGACAAAGTTTTATAGTACCCAGTAATTAGAAGGGAAAGTGACAAGCTAATTACATAATGAAGCTTCAACTTGGTTTTCTATCTCATTAATAAAGATGTGATACTGTTGCTACAGGAAGCGGTGCAGGAGCTGCAGACTCTTCTGTCTCAGGATGTGTATTGTACTGACAGCAGAGGGCGATGGTGGGATCGCCTGGCTCTGAATTTACATCAGCACTTGAAAAACACTAAGAAGGTAACTTCACAAATGCATGCTATAAAGCTGGAAACACTGCAGTCATTGAGAACATTTTAAAAATTACTTCATGTGAGAAGAACAGCAGGTTAGGCTCTGCTAAAAATGCAGGTATTGGTAGGAATCTCAAGGTCAGGCAACCAGTTTCTCCTAAGAAATTGAATGTGGAGCGTACCCTCATCCTTGTTTGGCCTGCTTTTTTTCTGTTGTGTAGAACACCACCGTTTGGCATGAAGGATTGTATGGAGGTATCAGGCAGCAGCTTGCTTGCTGTTCTGCCTTGTAAATTTGCCTAATGAGTGAGAAGCAGAGAAATTTCTTGCAGTAAACATTTCTGCTTCTCAACCTGAGTCATGATGAGGCCATATCTGAAATGAAAAAACGATTGAAAGGAGTTTTTTAATGTTTTCAGCCAAAAAAGGGAAGAGAATTAAATCCTTGGCTAACTCTTGACGGTGGGGAGATTGTCTCCTATATTGGGACCAGTGTTGGTGTGGGGTTTCTGCTGTAAGGGGTCAAGCAGTAGACGACCTCATTTCTAAGCTGTTACTTGTACACAGCTCTGGCAGGGTTATCAATCTTTAACAGCAAATTTAAACTATCTCTGTGGTCCTATAGGGGAAACCGTAACTGACCACCCTTAGACTGGTGAAGAGTAACATTAATGGCTTTAGGTAGCCGTCGTTATAAATCTGAGGATTTATAAGTGAAGGAGATTATGTCCATTTTTCCTGTCTGTTACATACAAAGGAGAAATACTGTCAGTGATTGAAAATGATACTCTGTCGGACTGTTTAGGTCACAGCGAAGTATGGGCAGACTGAAAACTAACTTTTAACTAAAAGACAAAGATGACCAATCTACTTAAACACACCTAAAATACCTGACTAATTTGGCAATGAAAAATAGAGATTAAAAAAAAACTTTGCAGTGCAGGAACAGTAGCAGTTGTAGAGTTATTTAAAATAATGAGAGAGAATGAGAGAATTAAAATAATGAGAGAGTCATAGAGACTTTTTATTTTGTATTGCACTTCAATTCTCTAAGCCTGTTAAAAGGAAATACTATCATAGACTATCAAGTGTCTGCAGTTGTCTCTTCTGCATCTTATAGCCCCATATCAAGCTTTTTCTAGATGTGGAATTCAAAGTTGTACAAAGGAAAAGTTGGTCTCACTTCCTTATTTACAAACTAGGACAAAGTGCCTTCCTAAAGTCACAGAAAGAGAGTATGTCAGAACCATGATTTGAATTATTTTTGGAGTTCATATTTAATCCTGGATGTTCTTTAGTGCAGTAGTGCATTGGTCTAAAATTTATTCTGTATATTTGTGCTCAACTGATCTGTTTCCATATTCCATGCTGTTAAGAACTGGCTTAAAAATATTAAACTGATTTACCTTAGAACCAGCTCTTTTTTTTTGGTCACATGTAGAATTTACACTTTCTTGATCTTACATTGATCAGTACAAATGGAGAGTAATTTCTTTTTGCTGTACAAGTGCAAATTTGAATCCGGAAGCCTACTAGTTCAAAATATTACATACTCTTAGAACTTCAGGACTTTAGTAGGGAAGGTGGCCCTGCCTTATATGCTGTTTTTTACATTCACATTTTTGTGCTCCTTAAATCAGTTGGTCTTTTGGCATGGTAAGAACAGACAGACGTGCACAGGTCTTTCTAAGTCGCTGCTGGTTTCCTTGCTCTTTGCCAGGCCGCTGACTGCATTAGAAAGGGGCTGGCAGACCCGTTTGTACGCACTGGCCATCGCCTCTCTCTCCACCAGCGGGCCCTGCGCATCAGAGACTCGCCGAGCTGCAGGCAGCTCAGGTGCCTGTTGCGTGATCTGCCAGCCCTGGCTGTGGAGGATGCCACACACGTAAGTGAAGGTGGCGGTGGTTGCTGGGAAATGAGGTCTTTTTTCTTCTGACGAGAAAAAATAATCTGGGAGACTGTTGTTACGTGCTGTGCACCAGCCTCTGACTTATTTGCGCTGCAGGAAAATGAATGCAAATGTGTTTCTAAAACAAAAGCCTCTTGTAAACAAACATTTCTACTTGTTTAATAAAAGGTCAGCTTCTTAGCTGAAGTTAGTCAGCTGTATACTGATTTAACTTGCACTGCGTTACTGCGTACGTGTTAGGGCTCCGATCAGCTGTACACTCCGCTGAGTTACCAGCAGCTCTCAGAACCTTTCTGCCTGGAGTCCCATCAAATCAGTGCACTGCCTCTGGTGTCTTCAGGCCGGGCATTCTGCGTGTAAGAAACAGTACTAGTAACCTTAGCATTGTCACTATTAGATTAACGGCTCAAAAAATGCAAGGATTTTTAGTAACCTTTGGGAGTTTTGCGCTCTAAATAATGCACTGTGCAAACATGCAATATGATGCGCTTGCATCATAGCAGAATGGATTTTTTTTAACTCATTCTTTTCCCTACTATTGCAAAGATAATCGTATCTGGGCAAAGTCAGAGCAGATCCTCACTTTCTCGGCCTCGTCACCACATGTCTCCCTACGAGCCCTTCTTCTTCTCAGTCCAGAATCAGTCTCAGTCATCTGTATTCTTCCTGATCCTGCATATAGAAAGACTACTTTCCCATCTGCCCAGCATTTTTGCTAGACCTTTTTTTTTTCTCTGAAAAATTTGCCAGTTTATAGAAGCTAAACAGAATCATTTCAAAGGAGTGGCAGGTTATATTTTATTCAGTTGATTTTTGGAAACAAGTCTAGTTCTGATTTTAAGAAAACTGAAAAGGAGGAACGTGTGTTTTAGGGGAGATGAAAATACCTAGGCTGAAGTTTTTTAAATGTGATGCTGGAAAGTAACTAGTACTTTTAATATGTTTAGGTTACAATCAAAGGAAAGATGTGTCCTCAGATGGGAATGGGAAAATCTGTATTTCTAATGGAGGATATTGGTGATGAAGAAGGAGGTGAAGACTTCAGTGTGTCCACAGTCATGTGCTCAGTTGAGGAGCTGGCGTTAACTCATTACAAGCAGAATGGTTTTGATCAGGGTAACAGTAACTTACTTTTTTGTACAGTAAAATAACTGTGGGAGAGTAAAGAACCAATTTGCTAAGCAGTTTAGTAAATAGACCAGTTTTAGCTGATTTCATTAGACCAGTTCTTAGTCTGATTCTGTTTCTTTCCGAAACAGCTCTACTATGTAATTTCGTTGCCAAAATGCTCTAACATGTATTTTCCACCTGACCTGCTTCCTGGCCTTTAATTATTTGCTGCCTTCATATACCTACAGTGTTTTTGAAATGTGTTAGGAAAAAAACCAACATTTCTTCTTTATCTCTGTAGAAAATCACTTACTTTGCCTTTCTTATCAATGAACAGCGATTTTGTTAGAGATAAAATGCAGAAGTGTCATTTAGGGCAGCGTCATTAAGGAAAGGTAAACTTCAACTGATTTTTGGTACTAGATGATCATGAAGACAGTATATACCACTGCAAGACACTTAGCGACAACGTCTTTCGAAAAGGCTTGCTTTTCCGCTCTATTAGGTGTTCAGATACTTTTACAGCTTAAGAGCTGTGAAAAGCCATGGACAAATAAGAATGTACAGGTCTGTTTTACAGGGAAAAAGCAAATTACAAAAGGTAGGAAAACTTTCCTATTTTTTAAGATAAAATTTATCTTTTTATATAAAATACATAATATGTTTATTATTTATATGTGTGAACGTACATACATACATGAACATAGGGAGATACATATATGTTTGAATATAAACATATGGGCATAAGGAAAGACTTTTTCACTGTGAGGGTGACAGCACTGGCACAGTTTGCCCAGAGGCTGTGGAGTGTGTGTGTGTGTGTGTGTATATTCATATCAACATACTTCTATATGTATGCTCATATACATATGTATATGTATGTAAGACATAATATATACAATATGTCCATATGTCCATACGTATGTTAAATATTAATTAGAAGATAGTATGTATTATTAATAATCCATTATAATATACAATTATAAATATGCGTACAATAAATATTATAGAATAGTATATGATAGTAATATATTCTACAATATGCAAGATCTATTATACACTATATATTTTTTATTTACATATTATTATAATGAATGTTATGGTAATATAGTAATATAGAACCTATATAACATATAATACATTATATATGAGACATAATGTGTATTAACTAATTTATATAAGCATATGTAGTGCGTATTATATATTAGAGAACATATGTAAGTGTATATACATCATCTATCATACAATTATCTACTATAAATATTTACAATTATATATTTATGATTAAATATGAAATATTTAACTAGTTACATTATTATGGTGTACTGTATTATATACTATGTATTATAAACTATATGTTACATACTACCTATTCTTATTAACATATGATGTGTAACATATAGCAAATATATTTTAATAAGTATATATGTTATATATAGCATATATAATGCATACATTCCTGTACTAGGTTTGACTGGATGGAGTTAAATGTTCTTCATGGTAGCCCATATGTGGCTGTGGTTTAGATGGGTGACCAGAACAGTGTTAATACCACGTGGGTGGTTTAGCTGTTGCTGAACAATGCTTACACAGCATCCAGGCTTTCTCCATTTCCCAGTCTGCCCCCACAGTGAGTAGGCTGGGAGGGGACACAGCCAGGACAGCTGACCCCAGTTGGGATATTCCCCACCATAAAATGTCACACCTAGCAATTAAACTGGGGTGGGACCAGTTTTTCCAAACTAGCTGTTGCTCGGAGACTGGCTGAGCATTGGTCTGCTGGTGAGTGATTGCTTTTGCATCACCTTTCTTTTTTCCTTTTTTTTTCTTCTCTCCCACTTCTTAAATTGTCTTTATCTCAACCCGAGGGTTATGTTTTTGTTTGTTTCTATTTCTTCCTCACTTTGACCTTCTAACTGTCTCCCCCAGCCCACTAGAGCAGGAGCAGTCAGCAAGTGACTGGGTGGCTGAGCTTATCTGCCATACAGGCTCAACCACCACAACTTTTTTGATATAGAAAAATATGCATGTCCATGCATGCACATGTACATACAGACACATTTATGTACGTAAACATATATACATGCACATATATATACATACATGTATATATTATACCTGTATATATACATATATATGGACATGTGTGTATATGTCTAATTATACATTTAAATGTATATTAAAAAAAACCACACACCACCCCTAACCTTCATGGGCTGATACAAAGCCAATTCAACAAGTGACAGGTGGAAGAGGAAAAAAAAAAAAAAAAAAGATGGTGCAAAAGCAAGCAGTCACCACCAGCAGACCAATGCTTAGCCAGTATTACTCAAAAATGTAATGTACTAATAAGAAAATATTTTATATATAAAAAAAATACAGTATACATCTATGCGTACATGCACACGTGTGTGTGTGTCTATGATACATGTATACATACATAGGCATGTCTAGACACATGTATACATATATATACGCGTGTATATGTAAATGTAATGGAACATGTTTTAAAAAACCTTTTTTTAAAATTAATATATTAAATTTTTAGTAACTGGGCATTACTCTGCTGGTGGTGAGTGACATATTTGCAGCACATATAGAAGTACATATATATGCATATGTGTGTACATATAATGAATAGTATAAAACATTTCACTCTCTATATAAACATTTTGTTATTAATATATAACTTTTTAAGTGTATAAATTTTAAAAATTGTGTATTAATAATTGACAAAGTTAGAACAGTAAAGCTTGTGCATGACAGGGCATAGTAATTTAACCCTGCTCTGTAAATGAAGGCCGTTACCCTGGCAACAGACAGCATTAGCAAGTGTGGAAGTGATAAACTGCATTTACAACTCGATGCTGTAATGTTGTTAGTATATACTGACTTCAGCCGTGCGTAAACATAACACAGTTCTGGTGTTGATCATGATGATTTAGTACCTTTTCATATGAAATTGCTGTAGAAATTAATGTTTCCATTTTTATTAACTTTTGCCTTTTAGGTATTCATGGGGAAGGCTCAACATTTATTACGCTGTATGGTATTCTGATGTGGGATATCATTTTCATGGATGGCATCCCCGATGTTTTCAGAAATTCCTATCAGGTAGTTTTGAAAGGCTTTCTTTAGTTAATGGCTGTACCCATTGCTGTAGTCTCTGTAACCATGTTAAAATCTTATTTGGGATTAGATTAACATCTTATTCTGAGGGACTTTCCAGGCATATCTTGGTGTTTGCTTGGTTTTATTATTTGTTATATTGGACTTGTTACTAAAGGGCTCCTCAGTAACTAATTGCCATGTAAGCAATTGGATTTGCTGTCAGATACAGTGGGATTCGGCTGGCTAAACGTGTATGTCCTATAGCTGAACTCACTGTCAGTCTCCTTTATAGTCAGTGGAAGAATACTGCTGTACCATAGCATTATTCATCTCAGTTGAAGATGATATATTCAATTTAAAAAAAAAAAAAAAAAAAGAGTCTGTTTCTTTTCAGTAGCCTTTAAAGGGCAGTCACATTTTTAAACTCAGGTTTGTTAACACCTCCACCTGCTCCACTCCAACCTGAATTATGCTTTTGGCATCCTTCCTGTTTGTCAAAGAAACAAACAGAAACACT